CAGGCTGGAGTGCAGTGGTGCGATCTTGGCTCACTGCAACCTCCGCCTCCCAGGTTCAAGCGATTCTCCTGCCTCAGCCTCCCGAGTAGCTGGGACTACAGGCACGTGCCACCATGCCCGGCTAATTTTTGTATTTTTTAGTAGAGACCAGGTTTCATCATCTTGGACAGGCTGGTCTCGAACTCCTGACCTTGTGATCCACCTGCCTCGGCCTTCCAAAGTGCTGAAATTATAGGCGTGAGCCACTGTGCCCAGCCTCATTTAACTTTCAACGCTGCCCTGACAGGGAAGGCTGTTATCCAATTTCAGGGTGAAGAATGGGGCTCCGAGAGGTGAAGTGGCCCATGTGAAATTTCTCAGGCAGCAGGCAGCAGAGTACCCAAGTGGAGTGGGAGAGACCTGGCTAGCAGTGGTGGAGGGGTTGGGGAGGCACCAGTACTCACACTGAAGATGAAGAAGAGCTCGATGAACATAGCGCCAAAGGGCAAGATTCCAGCCATGAGGATGCTGCCGCAGAACAACAGGTTAACACTGTTAGAGACCAGGCCATCAGGAGGCCCCAAGCTCCCTCCCAAGCTGGCATGAAGTGAGAGCGCCTACACAAGTGTGGTGGTGCTAATTCTTCTGGCATATTTCTGTACTATTATAATCTCTTGAGAGGTAGGCAGGGTGGGCATTATTCTCATTTTATAGATGGGAAACTGGGGTGCAGAAAGGTGGAATGACTTGCTCCAGGTCCAAGTGATGGTCTTAACCTGTCTCACCATACCCTTCCATCCTTCCCCTTCCTTGTCCTGGTTCCTAGGACGACACCAGGTCTGCCTACAACCTGGTCACCTTGATCTTAGAGTGAAGCTAAGCTTTTATAAACTCTATTAGAGCCGGCTGAAGCAGCAGGAACTCTGGTTGCTGCACCCTTCTGGTGGGGGGTGGGTACCCTCTTCCATGCCCCCCTGCTCTTGCCTCTGCTGGAGGACTCACCCCACAAATCGGTTCATGTACCACCGCTGCTCGGGGATCTGCCGGGGAATCTGGTTGGTGCGCACAGGGTTGTCATATGGCTGCTTTCGGAAGCCGAAGTAGTAGCCCAAGTAGACGAGGGGCAGGGAGATCCCGAACCACATGCACAGCAGAGCCACCATGGTGGGAAAGGGCACCTGTGGACATGGCGCCATGAGGCCCCCACGAAGCCCTGGTGCCCAGGATGGGGGCTGCGCAAGGGGGAGGGGACCTTCTGGGCTCCATGCAAGGAGGGGCGACTTGTGCAGCAGAAGCACACTCCCTGCCCCCATCACAGGGCTCCTGGCCAGCATCTCTTGGAGCTGGCCCCAGCCCTGATCTGGACTCCCAGTGAAGAAGGCACCTCAGCATCCCAGAGGAGCTCGCCATCCAGGGAGGAAGGAGGGGAGGAACAGGAAGGAAGGGACTGAGAACGTGAAGAGGAGATGAAGGGGTCAAAATGAAGAGATTACATGTGGCACATTATGTGAAGAAAAAAAGGGAAAAAACAAAATTGTACAAAGTGCTCCCAATCTTGTCAGAATAAAACTCCATGATATACTATTAAGTGTAAAGAGGAAGATATAAAACTATGTGTATAGAAGGATTCCATTTTAATAAAAACACAACATAGTCGGTCCTCTGTATCCACAGGTTCTGCATCTGTGGATTTAACTGCAAACAGAAAATGTTCAGGAAGGCCGGGCATGGTGGCTCATGCCTGTAATCCCAGCAGTTTGGGAGGCTAAGGCGGGCAGATCACTTGAGGTCAGGAGTTCAAGACCAGCCTGGCCAACATGGTGAAACCAAGTCTCTACTAAAATTACCAAAAAAAAAAAAAAATTGCCAGGCACTGTGGGGAGCACCTGTAATCCCAGTTACTTGGGAGGCTGGAGCAGGAGAATCGCCTGAACCCAGGAGGTGGAGGTTGCAGTGAGCTGAGACCTCACCACTGCACTCCAGCCTGGGTAACAGAGTGAGAGAGTGAGACTTCGTCTCAAAAAAA